AGCAGGAAAAAGGTAAAATTGAACTTTTAATTTATTTTTTTTAATAGTTGCCTTCAAAAAAAAAGAAGTTTAACCAGAAGTGGTAAAAGATCCAGGATTCCTTTTACAGAAATATGCACAGTGATTTATTTTAATATTTTTTTTCCTGCCAAAAGTAACTGAAACCAGGAACTCTGCCTAGATCAGCTATGAGTCAATACCCTGTCAAAATAATCTCTAAGTAAAGATTATCTCCTAGAAAGATCTATTCAGGGCAGTAACACAGGACAACCTCCCGCAGCACCAGTCCCAGCTGACGGCAGGTTATTCTCACAGCTGATGTCAGCGGCAAATTCCCAAGCTGGGTCAGGAAATCCAAAGTTAATGTAGAGTTGGAAGCAACAGGAACCCCTTTTTTCTCATCCTTCCCTTTCCAGATCCAAGTTAAGTCACCATAGATGATCCCTATGCAAAAAAAAAACAACCCACCAGCTGCAAAATCAGCTACTGACACTGCTATATGATCAGAATCCTTGTGATAATTTATATATCATCAATATATGATACATCAATATATTATCAATATATGATACAGCAATATATCATCAATATGTGATACAGCAATATATCATCAATATGTGATACAGCAATATATCATTGATATATGATACATCAATATATGATACATCAATATATCATCAATATATGATACATCAATATATGATACATCAATATATGATATATCAATATATCATCAATAGGTTTTGGAAAGAAACTGCCAGTTATGATTTCTTAGACCTGGGAAAACAGGACCAGAAAATTGGGTCAAAGTATCCTGAATGCACCAATGTGGATTTTGGAAATAAAAAATAAATAAATTTAAAACCCCTGATTGTTGCTGGCAAATATCCAGTAAAAAATATGATGTTAACTGCTTAAAAAAGGAAAAACCTTAAAAAAATATATCCATCATATTCCATTCTAGCCAGAGATTAAAGGATCGTTGCCTGTGAAACACTTTTGACTTCTCTTCCAGATGAAAAATTATCTGTTGAAATCATATACGCACAGATCTGTTACACAAGCTGCTCTTTCTGTCCTACTATTAAATCCTACATGAACCTAAAAAAATATCTAACCAGAATTTCCCCCATTCTCTACACACATGGAAGTAAAAAAAACCCGCACACATCAGGTTACACGTGATAAGAACAGCAACTCATCCCCTCAAAACTCAACTACACCAGGTTATTCCAACCATCCAGATGGATGTTTTGCTCCATTCAAGGGGGAATAACCCCGGTGAAAATTCAAGAGGTCTGGGCAGAGGGTGAGTAGCTCTTGGTGGGAGCAGATTCCAACGCTGAGCTAAATATGCAGTTGGTTTGTACTCATGATGTGTCAATATAAGTCCACATCAGTGTATTTGTAAAAAAAAAACAACCCAAAAAACCCATTACCAAAAAAAACCCCCAAACCAAAACCAAAACAAACCCCAAAACATTTCTCACATCTACAGAAATAAATACAGGGTGATTTTTCCCCCCCCAGTTAAAAGGAGTTGTTGAACCAGAAGTTGAAGGTATCAGAAAACCCAGTCCAACATCTAAAGTTCGCTGGTGTGAAGAGATCAAGAGGTAACGAGTCGTGACCATATTTTGGAGGCTCCAGGTGAGCTGCTGAAGGGGCTCAGCCCACAGGCACC